ACAAATTTAAAGTGGGACACTGTGATCTAAATGAAACAGACAATAAATAAAAAAGCAGTAACGTTTTCCACTAAAATATTTTTCAATAATTATCCATAAAAAGATTTAAACTGAGATTATATTATATTTATGTACACACATATGTATATATTCCTTCAGAACACAGACCATGTGTAGACCATATTTTTTATTCACATAAATAATGGCTTCAACAGAAATTTAAGGAAAATTTTCTGTAACTTGGATCATTTTCTCCAGTTTAATAGATTATCTTCCAAGAATCTTGATTGATCAAGATTTATCTCTTTAGCTGTAAGACAATGGTAAAAAAAAATTATAAAAGTTTGTTTCAAAACCCAGTACAATCATCAAGGGAATATTATCTGAGTCTAAGGTTCTTTGTCCCCAGATTCTTTCTGTCTTACCTTCTTCTAAAACACAAGACATTTAAAAAAAAATTTTTTTTCATAAATATTTATCCACCTTGACCTTTCTGGGAATTTCATTCTGTTGGTCACTTTCTCCTTCTTCATTCTCTTTCCCTCTCTTGGGTTCTGGGATGCCATTCTCTTTCTCAATTCTCCAGCTTCCTGTTTCCTTCACGGGCTTATAGTGTTGCAAGTTTCTTTCTGACTTTTTCTCTTTCCCCACTAAACTCTCCCTAGAGGAAATCAGCTATTTCCAAGGCTTCAATTATCACTTTTATATTAAGGGCTCCCAAGTTTAAATCTCAGCTCTGACTTCTCATTCATTCTACAGCACAGTTCTGATCATATCCTGCCATCATTGCAAACTGAACTTGGCTTTTCTCTAAATTGGTTTTCATTTTCTAATGATAGTATCCCTCCTCTTTCCTTCACTCAAATGTTTGAGTTATGTTTGGCTCCTTTCCCTCCTTCAGCTTGTATATCCAGTCAGTCACCTTCATGAACTCTCCTAGAGCTATCTCTACACCTCCATCCTCATCTTAGGCTGGACAGTCAATTCATACGTGTATTAGTCCAATATCTTCCTGTCCTACTTTCCATCTGGCCTAGTCCAAGGTGTGGCATTCTTGGGGACACAATAAGATAGACTTTTTAATATTACTTTTTATCAGTGCTCATGTTTTAAATGCCAGAAAATTCATTTCTCTATGGCCTTTAAGTAGATTAAAAAAAAAAGTAGTCCAGTTTCTTGGGTTTCAGTAAAGCCTCAAAGCCTGTGGTGGACAGTAATAAACAGGGTACAACTACAAACTTGTTTTATCCTGGTTCTCCCCACTTGTTGCTATACCTAATTTATTCTTCATACTCTTGCCATATTAATCTTCCAAAAGCACTGCAGTGAGGTACAGTAGGAAAAGTCTTGGCTTTGCAGTCAGTCCCAATTCTGACATTTATTGCCTATGTGACCTTGAGCAAATTCCTAGGCCTTGGTTTCTTCACTGCAGAATGAGAAAGTTGCACTCGACAACTGCTTATCAGATCAAGTGCCAACTTCTCACCATGTTGCTTAAGGCCTCCCAGCAATTCTCCCCACCTTGTTTGTTTAATCCTCTCTCCTGATATTTGGAGATGGATTCTCATTCCAAATAGACTAGTTGACCTTACCTCTCTCACCTTCCACCACCACTGCCCCTCTTCCCTTGCAGGTATCATTCCTCCTCATTCTATTTCTCCTACCAAGAATGGATCCTGCCCTCTTCTTCTTTCAAGGTCCAGCTCAAGACCCACTTCGTTTACAAAAATTATTCTCAGTCCACAATGATTGTTTCCTCATTCTCAATAACCAAAGCACTTATAAATAATCTGTACCACACATTTTTCATGCTTCCTTATTGATTGCTTTAAATCATTATTATTTCATATATGTATGCCATAACAATAATTTTGAAAATTCTATTATGAAGCTGTATGGGATAGTGGAAAGAGCATAAGACTTCAAATCAGGAGACATCTAGATTCAAAACCTACTTCCAACCAATGCTTTCTTTTTGTATGCTTTATTTTTTAGAACAATATTTTATTTTCCCCCCAATTACATGTTAAAACTATTTTTAACATTTTTTTTTAAAGTTTTGAGTTCTAAATTCTATCCCTCCTTCTCTCCTTCTTTTTCTCCCTCCCTGAGACAGTAAGCAATCTGATATACAATCAATACTTTCTAGTTGTATAACAATGGGCAAGTCAGATTCCTCAAAAGATATTCATACATGTAATTTCTACCTCACAGAGTTGTTGTAAGTATGAAGGGAAATAATTTAAATAAAGTGTTTGTAAATATCAACGAACTACAAATAAAATGTCAGTGTGTATCCCAGAGTCATGTGGCCATTGTGTGATGTTTTTAATAAATCTGTTTTCAGCACCAGCATCTTTCATTCAGGCATTGAAGTATTATTTCTAGAAGATCTTAATATTTTTAAATGAAAAATTAATTTATTTTACTGTTTCCTTTTATTCTGAATAATTTAAATTTAAATTTAATTAAATTTAAAATTTAAAAATTTATCATTTTATTCTGTGCTAAACAATCTTAACAAACTGAAAAAAAGTTTACTTATTTATTTCTGTCCTATAAAATTCAATTCTTTATAAAGTATACTTCTGAGGAAAACTTCATGGTACACAAAAACCTGCTGGGATAATGTCAGAAAAAACTTCATGTATATTTTCTAATTGTTCTGAAGAAAGTTGAATGTGTTTACTTGTTCGTTGATGCCATCACCAAATGTCTCAAAGTAAAATCCTAGTTAATCAAAACCCCTGATTTCAATTTAAGCAGCAATTATTAACATGATAGGGAAGGAGAGGGGCATACTACTGCAAGTTCAAACTTGTGATCAATTCTCCTGTTTAAAGAAAATAAGACTTAACTAACATCTCAAAGCCTATTTGTTTTGGGTCCATAACATACATACAGATAAATATCTTGCAACATTCTTGGAAGTCTATGCAGCATTCATTTATCTTTAAATTAAGGCCATGCACACAGAGTTATTGGATTTTTTGTTTGTTTGAAAATCTAATGCTAAAAAAAAAATCTAATACTGCCCATTTAGAAAAAAGTCATTCCTGAGAGGGTACAGAAATTACAAGGAGTACCACTAAAAATGCCTTCTTTGTATGGTGCAATATGAAATTCACCAAGACTATGTCTTGACATTCTGAGATGTACAATGGATTGATATTAAGTTGTTGAAGAAACCAATTAAACTATGTATATTGAAATAATTTAGATGCCTATGTATGAGCAACAATTGATTAAAGAGACATGTGGCCTATTAAATCCATTAGAATTAAAAAAAAAACCTGTTACCATTGTCCTGATACTCAAATATAGTCAAGTCATCTTTTGTGCATAATCCTATATAAAATTTTCTAAATTTAATACAAAGGACATAACTGTATGGAGTATTTGTACATATTTGTCATTATACTGTATTTATTTAAAAGTTGATGTATTTTTTAAAATTTTCATGTCTGCAATTCTACCTATGATTTAATCATATAAATAGGACTATTCCAGTAACCATTGCTGTCTTGTACATAGTATATTTTAAACATAAAGGGAATCCCAGTTGGAACAAAAGGGCAAATTAGGCCTGTATTGAACACCATGTAATGGTAATGGTAATTAGCACTTTAAATAAAACATTTTCTTTAAAAAAAAAAAAGTGCGTGCATGCATGTGTGTGTGTGTGTGTGTGTGTGTGTGTGTGTATACCTTGTCCAGGAACTGTTGGCATTATATGAGGGGGAAAAATGCTAGAATTCTTCTACTGATTACTCACATTGATTGTGGATCAGTCCTGACTGTGACTCTGTGAGCATTAGCTCCTCATCTATGAAACAGGGAAACTAAGACAGGATGTCCCAAAAGTCTTAGTGCAGCCTTAAACTTGACACTGAAAGTAAGGTTTTTGGTAAGGAAGTGCTTTGCCAGTCATAAAATCCTATAGAACTTTGAGTTATTATTATTTTTATGACTTTTTTTTTGTTACATCCCCAACCATGACCAGCAGACCTAAGAAGTGCTTACAATAAACTTCTTGAAGTTCAGATGGAATCATAGATCTGGAGTTAGCAAGGACTTTAAAGGCCATTATGAATATCTACCTCTTTTTACAGATGAGGAAATGGAGGCATAGGAAGGTTGAGACTTACTCAGGGTTACACAGGTAGTAAGTGCCTGGATCAGGATTTGAACACAGGTCTTCCTTACTCCAAGTCCAGTTTCTCATCCATTGAACCACACTAATTCAGGGTGGGGTCTGCAGCAGTGGTTCATTAGCAAAACTTTCCTGTTTCCCATACTACATTTTTATTAGTTTTCAGATTCAAGACATGATGTAAATATGTCATAGTTACCAGACCATAGTAGACATCTCCTAAACCTCTCATTTCATAGATGAGGAAACTGAGGCCTAGCAAAATTAAGTGTCTTGTCTAAGGTCCCACAACTACTAAAGTGACAAAGTCAGCTTTTGAACCCAGGTCCCCAGATTACAAATCCCATGCTCTTTCAGTAGAAAGAGCCAGCCTTGTGCCAGACTGTGTCTCATTCTTGTGATATAAAATTAGTTTTGGCTATAAACTTTATATTTGCTCCTCTTTGTGGAACTGAATCATTATCTTTAATGGTACATTAAGAGAGAGGGGCTTCTCCCCTCCCAACTCCATGCAAGTTATCACTTCAGTTTATAAAAGGGAGATAAAAATTTTTCTGAAGTAACAGAAGCCCTAGTAAGTGTTAAATTGTGAAATTCATATTAAATTATACAATCTGACTAAGGAATTTTTTGTTTTGTTTTGTTTGTTTTGAGGGATTATTATAATTTCAGTATTCTGGCCTCTTCACAACAAACATTGCTGTGAATTTCTGGGGCTATAACTATAAAAATTAAAGAATTAAAGAAGTTCAAAACAAGAATGAAGCTACTTTGTTATATTCAAAATGGTCTCTAAGAAAGTATACAAAATTCTGCTTGTCTCACTTGAAAGGGTTCATTACATATCTACCTTCTTCTGGTGGTTTCTGCAGGAACTCAAAGAACATGGTGACAGCTTCAGAAATAGGTATTGGGTTTAGGCTTTGGCGGCGCTTTTCCGGAGAAATAAAATGTAAACAAATGTTCTCATCACATAATAATAATAATTAACACTCATATAGTGCTTACTAATTAGCACCTTACTTGATCCTTATAACAACCTTAGGAGGCAGGTGCAATTACAATCCCTACTTTGTAGATGGGGAAATTGAGGCAAACAGGGTAAAGTGATTTGCCCAGGGTCACACAGCTAGTAAGTGTCTGAGGCCAGATTTGAACTCAGGTCTTCCTGACTTCAGCCTTGGTGCTCTATGCACTGCACCATGTCTAGACTGATCTAATAAATATGGTGAAAAGCAAAGTCTATATAAAATAAAAGATTTCAAAGGTCCAGCTGGTGGCCGCCTTATTTTATTCAATATACTGGATTTTGAGCAGCAAGGTGGCTACAGTGGATAGAGTTCAATCCTGCCTCTGACATTTACTGTGTGATTCTGGGCACGTTGCCGTTTAACCGCCCCCACTACAAAATGGGAGGAGTTGGCCTTGGTTGCCTCTAAGGGTTCTTCTGGGCCTAAATCTATGATTTATTAAAAGATTTAGACACTTCCTTGGAAATAGTTTATAGCGTAATATAACTTACACTAATTTTGTATTGTGAAAATTTAGAGAAGCATCATGGCATATTGGAGAGAGTCAGTCTTAGATGAAAGGACAGGTCTGAGCCTTTCCTGTCTATGTGACTAGGATGCTGTAGATGTGATCACGCTTTGGAGAATGCCCTCTATCTTTTCTTTACATGCTTTTCACTCCTGGATAAATGGAAACTTCACTAACTCAGCATGAACGTGATAACTCTTGATTTGCAGTATCGTTACCATATAAAATGGACAAGTGTCTGATAAACGCTAAAATAGTGTTAAATTTAATTTGGCATAAGGAAAAAATGTTTTTCTGGTTTAATCTGATTTATGAAATTTGATTTGAGGAAGTTGAAATTTGAAAATCAACGGGAAGACTGGAAAACAAGGGGGCTGGACAGATTATAGGTCTCTGAGGTCCCTTTCAGCTCTAAAGTAGAGCACCGACTCTGGAGTCAGGAGGACCTGAGTTCAAATTTGGCTTCATACATTTACTAGCTATGTGACCCTGGGCAAGTCACTTAACCCTGATTGCCTCCTTAAAAAATGATATAACAATAAAAAAAATTACAAAATGGTTTGCTGTCAGATTAATCCTATTCAAGAGAAGCATATTGGATACTTGCCATATATTCTCAACATTGTGATATGTCCTATACTCACTGGCAGGCATTCAGTAAGCTAATATTTTCTTCATAATAAGTAATTTCAAGATCACTAGCTTTTCAGAGTAACAAGAACATTTGCAGACAACAGTGTAGCAATGATCAAAGTTGTAACTAGCAATATTGGTGCCTGGAGCAAGCAGCTCTAAAACTTATAGTCTGATCACCTTTGGAGTAGTGTTGGGAAGACACAAAACCTGGGACAGTCTAGGCCACTGCTGGAGAAGCGCATGACCAAGTGGAAAGTTCAACTGGTGCAAATGTTTACTTCCTTTGAAATTTGGCAACCTCCTAGCTGTCCTGCCCTAGCTACAGTTTTGATAAGGATGTACCAGGAACAGCAATAACAGCATGTGTGCTACAATTCTCGCTCTTCTACAATATTTGAGGACTACATAGGACACATGGTGATTTTTTTTCTTTGCAGAAGTGGAGGTAGGTGTGCCTTTAAAAAAAAGCCCCATAATTTAATACGAGCCATGAGATGCTTTTTAAAAATCATCTTAAGCACGAAAATGGGGAGAGGAAATAGACATGCATCTGAAATGAAAGAAATGGCAACCCAATCATAGTAGTGTCAAGGTTAGCCAACTTGTCTTCTGTGCTCCTATCCAAATCCACTTTTCTCTTCCTGAAATGGTTGTCTAATGTCTCTGGGATCAAATATGAACTCCACTGTTTAGTTTTCACGTACAATCTGGTTCCAGCCTGCCTTTCCAATCTTACTATACTTTACTCTGCCCCCAGCTCTCTCTCATGCCTGGAATGCTGAAGAGACACCTTTGTGAGTCTTAGAATCTCTCCTTTTATTCAAAACTTTGCTCAAGGGACACCTACCTGAAACCTTTCCTGACCAACCTTAACTGCTAGTACCTTCCCCTAAAATGGTTACCTTGTATTTATTCTGTTATATACTTATAATATAGATGGCATCTGACTCCAAAAGAATATAAGTTCCTTAAAGACAGGGGTTACTTTATTTTTGCATAATATGCCCAGCCCTTCTCAGTCCCAGACACATATCATTAGCTTAATAAGTGTATTTGATTCACACTTTCATACATACATACATATACACAAATACACAAGGCATGCATATATGATATAACAAAGAATATAAACATATATATGCATGCACATGTGTAATACACATGTATATATACACATAATAAACATGTGTATATAGATATAGATACACACACACACACACACATATATATATAGTCCTGTCAGTTTCATTACTGTAGAAAACATCCAGTGAATTAACTCCTTCCCACCAATCAGCATTTGTTCTGAAACTTAACAGTCTAAAAGTGGGGCCCTGAAAGTTTAAATGACTTGCCTGAGATCATATAGCCGACATGTATCAGAGGAAGGACTACAGCCCAAGTCTTCCTGACTGCAGCACTGGCTTTCTATTCACTATGCCACCTTCATCTCCCTATAAAGATTCTGGCACTTAAATCTTATGCCCAGAATCAACCTTTTTCAATGCAGAGGAATTAGAGCACATCTAGACTTTTAAGAATGTAATTTAAACAAAGGTTGTTCTAATGAAGTAACTGTGTCATTTTTTCCTAAAAATCTAAGGCCACTCCTCCTCCTACTTTTTAAACACATCTGCTTTTGGTTGCCCATGTATCTCACTTTTATGCCTGTTGATTTTGGCACAGCCTGCAGCGGTGAAATTGTGAACCCTGCCTGACCTTCATCCCTAACTGCTCCCCTTTGTGACTGCAGTTGAGCAGAGAGCAAGCTGTTTTGTTGTTGGTATGACCAGTAGTAATCACAAGAAAAATGTCCCACTTGAGCACAGGGCTAAATTGTCTTTTCTTGTGGAAATGAATCTGTTTAGGCATGAAACCTATCTCCTTTTCTTGATATAGTTCTTAGCACAGTGCCTTGCATGTAGTAAGTGCTTCATAAATGCCCATTGACTGACAGGAACAATGGTAAGCCCAGCACATATAAGTCAATAGACACAAAATTCTAATTCCAACTCTACATTTATTTTGTTAAATTACCTTGACTTCTCAGCTTCAGTTTCTTTATCCGGACATGAATTGGACTATATGGTTTCACTTCGTTTTCCACTCCAACATTTTATGATGCAATGAATCATAGCAAAGTACACTCCCCCTTTCCAGGATGAAATGGAAAGAGCACTGGATTTGGAGTCATGGGACCTTTGTTCTAAGGAATGCTGTGTGATCATGGGCAAGTCATGTAACTTCTCCAGACATTAGATTACAAAGTGAGTTTTAAATTATTGAATTATCTAATAATCAGATAAAATAATCTCTGACTCCCTTCCAACTCAAAGGCATCTGGTATCTCTGTTTCTGTTTCTCTTACCCAGCTGTAGTCTGTTGTAGAGATCTTTCCTCTGGTTCTCCTCTGAAATGAATTGACGGCCTTCTATAAAACAAAACAACACAAAAACAAATAAACAAACAAACAACAACAACAACAAAACTAGAGAAGCAGATTGGAGTTTCGGATAGCCTCAGGGGGATGCTGGCTGCAGCTTTGGAGAGGGGCAGCTAAGTTGAATAGCTGCTATCTCATTGTGTGTGTAACACATACACTTGGGAGGATGGCTTGGTCCTGCTAGGTAACAGGGAAGGGGAAATAATCTCTCTGACTTCCCTCAATAAATCCTAGAATCTCACCCAATGGAACTCTTTCTCTAAGTTTCAGCCTGAAGGTGATTGATAGGAATTTTGAAAAACACCTCTACTAGGTGGTGCAGTGGATAGAGCACCAACTCTGGAGTCAGGAGGAGCTGAGTTCAAATCCATCCTCAGATGGTTGGCACTTACTAGCTGTGTGCCCTTTGGCAAGTCACTTAACCCTGATTGACTCCAGAAAGAAAGAAAAATGCCTCTCTGGGACCTGGGGAGGGGAGGGAAGAGAAAAGGATGGGAGAAGGGTTTTTAAATTTTTAAAAAATGAATTTGGCTTTTTTTTGCTGTAAACTCTGCCCTGAAGATGTTTGTGGACTGACGCACAGCAAGAGTGAAGTAAGCAAGACCAGGAAAACAACATACAAAAACAACAACAATGTAAAGGAAAAGAAAATAAACATGAAACTGAATGTAATTATAACGAACCAAGTTTGATCAAGAAAAGTTGAGAAAAACGTCCATCCATCTACTCTTTGGAAAGGTGGGGACCTATAGATGTGGAATATTGCACATATTGTGACATATAGCTGATGTGTTGGTTGGTTTGGCAGAACTACTTCCCTCTATCTTTTTTTTCTTTCTTAAATCCTGATAAACAATGTATCTGGCTGGTTAAGGCGAAGAGGAAGAATATATTCAGAAATGAAGGTGATACAAAAGCAAATAAAAAGCAGTCTGCCCTGTGATAATTTCGGCGCTTCTTTAGGCATTAACTTGGCTAAAGATCAGGTTCCCAATTCACATAAAGATGATCTCCCTCTTTCAGCATACTAACCCACAGGATCTGACACATTTGAAGGCTGGCAGAGCACCCCAATATATAGACTGGGACTACACGCTGTGGCAGTTATGTTCAAGAGCTGGAAATGTTATCTTGTAACCAATCTAAGAGCCCAGTTCTCTCCTCCCAAGAATATTGGGATGCAAGTGCAAAGCCAGCTTTTAGAGCCTGTGAAAATTTCTAATTAGCTGAAAAATTTTACTTTTTCAGTTCTGCAGTCTTGTTTAATTTTAAAAGACATTTTTAAAATTGCAAGGCAAAAAGAGTAGCCTGTCAGAGTTCCTCCGCATCTTTTGCTATGGACTCTTGCTCTCACTGAATAAATAGCTCACAAAATGAAAGCCCTTTTTTGTTTGTTTGTTTTGGTTAGTACTTACGAGTTCCCTTAAGGTAGAGGATAGCTTGAGGAGTCCAGTTTCTTCTTTCAAAAAGTCTCTACAAATCCAGGGAGAAGAACAGTTAATTGGACATTATGATTCAGTCCTCTGTGGGTTTAAAAACAGAAAGGCCAATCACAAAAGAATAACTGCATACAGATTTAGAGGATTCCACTTTTAAAGAATGGGGTTACCTGGGGAGCACAACAGGAGAGAGAGATAAATGAAACTGCCAGGAGCAAGGCCAGGCCAGAAGCTTTCAGACTTTGGATTCCCTACAAAGAGAAACAAGGACCCTGGTTATATATATTTGTTTTGTGTTGTGACATTTCAAATTCTCCTCGTGCTGTTATGATGCTCAATATATAAATTTTACAATAAGACCACAAGATGTAATGAATGTTCTTTCCAAAAAGAATAAAGGAAAAAATGGATCAACAATACTAATCAATGAATATTAGCATAATTATCAAGCTCTGTTCAATTCTTAAATATTGTTAAATATTTTTTAATATGATGAAACTATATTCTAAAAATATAATTATTAAAATACTCTCCACCCTCTGAAATGCTTATTGACTAAAGATGAAAATTGTTAACAAGAAGTAAGCTTTCCTCTGTGGTAAAGGAAAACCTCACCTACTTTCATTGTTACTTCCTGCCAGGATTCTCTGGTAAAACTTATCTGAACCAATTTGAATACAGGGACCTTTTTAAATCTTCCCTGTCAATGGACACCTTTCCATTTCTTTCAGAGTGAGTGTCTAAAGGGACTTCTCGTCAGCCCTGGAGATAGAGAAAGAGGTCTGATGACTCTTCCTGGGAGATTAGCCAGCAGGAAGTCAAGATGATTAAAAGGGTAGACACTCTCAGTTTAGCTACTCAGCCACGTCAGCCAGGCAACCTTCTGAATACATCAGCATCATCAACTCAGTTTGTCCCACTAATTTTCAAGGAAACATCATTGTCTTCTAAATGATCAATGACTCTGCGCAGAAACAAAAGTTGAATGATATCATTGACATTTACATAGCACTTTAAGATTTCCAAAGTATTCTACATACAATATCTCATTTGTGGCTTATAGAAATGTGAGATAGATGATCTTATTATTTCCATTTTTCACATGAGGCAAATTAGACTTAGAAACATAAGGTGACTTGTCCAAGGTCACACAGCTATTGTGTGTGTGTGGGGGGGTAAGATTTGAACCCAAGTCATTTTGACCCCAGGTCAAGCAATCTATTTACTATTCAAGCTATAATTGGTGCTACAACTAAACATTGGCTCAATTTTTGAGAAGTTAAAGTGTGAGGGAATCTCAATATGACTTTGTGTCATGGACTCGTTATTTGACTGACATCATTCATTCAAGTGCTTACTATGTATAAAACACTGTAAAAGGTGCAAGGAGGAGGGTATAAAAAAGTTCAAAATGCCATAGGAGTTGGAGACAGGAAAGATTTAATAAATGTGCTGTCATTTAAGCAGACTTTAAAGGATGGATATGATTTTAAGGGGTAGCATTTCGGAGGGGCAGGTTTTCTATGTAGAGATGACAATGAACAATGGCATTAGACCAATAATTAATTAAATTTTTGGGGGAATGCTTAGTAATGCAATTTGACCTGAGAGTAATGTATGGAAGGTGGTAATAGACAAGGTTATAAAAAGGCAGATCATGGAGGCTTTTGAAGACTAAGTTAAGGAATTTGAATTTTATTCTGTAGGGAATGAAAAGTGATTGAAGAATTTTGAGCAGGGGATCAATTTAGCTCGGGTAGTGCTTAGGAAGATTGTTCTGATGATGTAATCTTAGAAATCAAGAAGGCTAATTAATGCATTGAGAGAAGCATAGTACTCCAAACTAGGAAAGTGATAGTCTTGCCATATTCTGCACTGGTCAGACCACATCTAGAGTATTATGTTCTGTTCTGAGTTCCACATTCCAGAAAGGACATTGAAGGGGCAGCTAGGTGGCACAGTGGATAGAGCACTGGCCCTGGAGTCAGGAGGACCTGAGTTCAAATACGGCCTCAGACCAAATACTTGACACTTACTAGCTGTGTGACCCTGGGCAAGTCACTTAACCCCAATTGCTTAAAAAAACCAAACAAACAGAAAGGACATTGAAAAACTGGATTGTCCAGAGGAGGATCAAGAAGATCATAAAAGACTTAGATTCATGCTATGTGAGGATTAGTTGAAAAAAAAAACTGGGAATATTTAGCCTGGAAGGATTTTGGGAAGGGTCATATGATAGCTCTCTCCAAATATTTGAAAGGCAGCCTCATGGAAGAGGGAATAAACCTGTCTGGACCCATCAGGTAGAACTAGAAGCAGTGGGTGGAAGTTACCAAGAGGCCAAGTTTAGGCTTAATGTAAGGAAAAAACTTAACTATACAAAAACTGAGTATAGTCTTGAGAGGTGGTGAGTTCCCCCTCACTTGAGGTAGTTGAGCGAAGGATGAATGATCATTTATCCTTATATTCTTGAGAAGATTCTTGTTTAGGTACAAGGCTAGACAAGAGCACCCTGTAATGTCCTTTGCAGCTCTGAGCATCTGTAATTCTTATTCTATGTCTTGGATAGATTGGGCTCATGTGGGGAGCCTTAAGGCAAGAAAACTAGGTATGAGGTTCATATGAGTGATATCAAGTGCCTAAAATAATACCCGTTTCACTGGGTTGTTAGGAAGAAATTACTATGTAAATCATTTTTTTTTTTTGATGAGGCAATTGGGGTTAAGTGACTTGCCTGGAGTCACACAGCTAGACATGTTATGGTGTTTGTGTCTGAAGTCGAGATTTGAACTCTGGTCCTCCTGACTCAAGGGCCTGCGCCATCTAACTGCCCCACTATGTAAATCTTAAAGCATTAGTTAAATGTGAGTTATTATTATGATTGAGGAGAATATGATAAGCTTGTTTTTGGATAGATTAAGTTAGATATGATAGTTAAAAATGGAAATAGAGATGTCCAAAAGGTAATGGGAAATGTTGGTCTGAAGCTCAGAGGAAAGATCAGGGTTGAAGCTAAAGACCTTGGAGGCATTTGCATGATGGTTATAATTCAAGACACATGACTGAAGGAGATCACTAAGGGGGTTAGAAAGAGAAAGGGCTGATTACAGAACCCTGGGGAATGTTTCCACAAAGAGAGCTAAGTGGAGAAAGAGAATTAATTAAAAGAGAAAGAAAATTAATCAAAAAAGACATTAGAATAAGTTTTGGAAAATGTCACTGTGAATGGCAGAAAAGGTTTCTTGAAAGTGGTGGTGGTATATTGATAAGTAGAAAAAGGAAAGAAGGAAGGAAGAAAAGAATGAAAGAAAAAAGAAGGAAAGATGGAGGAATGAAGGAAAAAAGGAAGGAGGGATAGAGGAAGGAAGAAGCAGTAGCTATCCTATGGAGCAGGTAGGCCTAACCTGCACGTGGCCACTTCTGGAGACACACATGCTTAGGAGTGAAGGACTTGGCTTTTTTGGATGAAGACATTAAACTCTGATTGGTCCATTTCTTCCCATTCCCTTCCCCCTTCACCACTCCCCCACTCCCTCCCCCGGAGAGGGAGGACTGATCACTGGGTCAGGAAGCCTACTCAGGCTTCAAAAGGGACAACTCTGTTTTCTGGCTCTCTATTTGAAATGTTTCGTTTGTTCCCCTTTGAGATGTCTCATAAAGAGTGAGGCCAGAGTCCCACTTTCTTTAAAGGAAGAAAGCAGGTGACTCAGCCCTGCTAGGATGAGCAGCCATTAAATTTAAACCCCTCATACAAACTTCCACAGACCAAATAAGAAAGCTTCTTATGGGAGGGGGAGATTGACCTTGGCAGCTTGAGTTAAGAGGGTTTGAGAACTAGCAGCTGTCAAGAAGTTTGGGACACCTAGAGATCAGAGGAGCACAGCTCCTCTGACGGCTATAGTTGCAGAGACCAGGAAACAGAACAGACAGTTTAATAAAGTCGAAAACAACATATTTCCTCTGAGGTAGGTAGCACCGTCATTCAGAGCCATCATATGGAACTACAGGGCCTGATCAATAATGTATTTGCACCCCTTCACAAGGAATACACTGGTTTGTGGGCCTCTTTTTTCTTCTCTTGCCATACCCCTCTGTTTAATTAGAAATAGAAGAAACTCAACTATGTCCTATTTTGCCAGTAGAATATAAGAAAAGAACTTGTTGGATAAAGGTTTAGATATAACAGCTAATAAAATAAAAAAATAAAATTGGGATAGGACTTTCCTGGAATAAATGTTGTTTAAAAATACAACAAACAACCAGAAATTACAATAAAATCTCTACATGGGAAATTGAAATTTTTTAAAAAAGATTTAATGCATTCCAAAAAGATTAAAGAAAAATCTGGTCACTGAGGAGAAAGAAAAGGCAAAATAAAACATAATCTTCTGAAGTGGGGAGTTTTGTTTTTTTTTTAGAAGCAAAATAAAATGAATAAAAATGAAATCAGATAAATTCAAACAGGTTTTACAAAAACAAAGCTTAACTCCCAGTAGCAGAAATAGGAAGAGAGAAAGAGAGGAAGGAGGGAGGGAGGGAGGGAGAGACAGAGACAGAGACAGAGAGAGACAGAAACAGAGAGAGAGACAGAGACAGAGATGGAGAGAGAGACACAGTGTGTGTGTGTGTGTGTGTGTGTGAGAGAGAGAGAGAGAGAGAGAGAGAGAGCAAAAGGAAAAAGAAAAAAAGAAAAACAAACCCTCAAAAATCAGTTGCCAAGGACAGAACCACCACGGGTAAGTAGATATGAGTGATATAAGTGAGATCAGGGCTGCTCAGGTGGTTCCTCTTGAATAAATCCTCATCTACATCTATCACATGGAGTACGATAATTGTTCCCTCATGCATCACTGGGCTCATGTGGGGAGCCTTAGAGGTAAAGAATAGAAGTGAAAAATGAGAAACCAATCACCAGGGGGAAACAACATGTACATCAGTAAAGGATCCCTTTTCCCAGACACTGGTTGGCTTTCAAAAATTCGTTCTACTACATCTAGACCCTTTGGTCATGAACCCTTTTGACAGTCTGGAGCATATGGAGTCTTTTTTTCTTTGATTTCTGCCTAGGCTCATAGTACTGCCAACTTTAACCATGAGACTAGGATTAGCAACCAGTAGTTTTCTTTATATAGTGGGAAAATTAATGAGAGCAGTGAAGAACAGAAAACAAAGGAGGAGGTATTGAATTTGTGGACATACTTAGCTAGTACTGACCACTGCCAGCTGCCGAAGAAATTGACTTCCTGCTTTAGTCCCCATCTCCTGAGGAAAGAACAGTTACTCAGTTAATGGGAGTTCTTCCTTCATCTTCTTGGAGTCATGGGAGAAGGAAATCATCGGGGGGGGGGGGGAATTTGAGTCATTTCACCATACCAGTTCTGTATTAGCACAGCAATGTACTCACACTTTCCAAAATGTCACTTGTTGTTGGATTCTTGGGTGGTGTCTACTTGTACATCTCATCTCCATGGCATGCAAGTTGAACTTAGAAAAGGCAGATGAGCTAAAAGCAGTTATTATGAGTGCATTCTAACTCACACAAGGGATGGCTTGAGGATAAATTAAGACATCAGGAGTGGGAAAGAACAATCAAGGATAAAAGCAATCAGAATGGAGCAGGGACCTTCAAAGATAAAACCTGGAAGGTAGGAACAATCAAAGTCAAAGCAAGTGATGGGAACAGACAGTCAAGAACACAGCTCGGGACATTATAATGATCTTCAGGCTAACCCAGAAGGAAGAAAGCTTTGGGTGTAAAGATCCCACAAAATGTTTCCCTTTGGATCTTGTACATCCAGGTTACACCAAGCTTTTTCAATTCTCTCTATTTTGGCACATATGTATGTACACACACATATGTTTATATAAATACATACAAATGTGTGTGTGTGTGTGTACAGTGGCTTATTATCCACACTTTTTGCATTTTAAAAATTATTTATTTTTAGTTTTCAACATTCACTTCCATCAGATTTTGAGTTTTTAATTTTCTCCCCCTCCTTCTCCTCCCCTCTCCCTAAGACTGCATGTAATCTGATATAGGTCCTACTTATACATTCATATTAAGCATATTTTCACATTAGTCATGATGTATAGAAGAATTAGAACTAATGGGAGGTACCACGAGAAAGAAGAAATAAAACAAAACAGCAAAAGAAAAGGAGAGCAAAAAGTATGCTTCCACCTACATTTAGACTCCATGGTTCTTTTTCTGGATGTGGATAGCATTTTCCATCATGAGTGTTTTGGAGTTGTCTTAGATTCTCACATTTTTGAGAAAAGCCAAGCCTATCAAAGTCAAGTCATTTAATTATCTCACCTATTGTTCAAGTTTAAGGAAAAACAAATCAATATTTTGTTTAGACTAATTCCACTTGATTTCTAAAGCAAGTGTTTTATGTCAAATCTGTCATCTTTTTTAATAATCCATATCAAAGAAGAGTTGTTTTGACACAATCAAAAATAGTCATCTTTTTAAATAGATATCTGAGGCCATAGATTTTTTTTTGCTAGTGCCTTTCTTGAAGTTTGTCTCCTGTGAACAATTAAATACTCAGACGAAGATAGCCATTAATATATTACAGTGGAGAGTTCATAAAGCAAGTCCTATACAGAATTTATACAATCATGGCTCCCAAATGTAAAATAAAAGAATGCATTCATTATCATTATTGGGCCCAATAAATCTGCCTTCAGTTTACATGTTTCCAATGTTTCTCTTTTCATCAGAAGTTAAGAATTTCACATTTAAGGTCTCCTTTTCTTAAATAATACCCTATTCCATTTCCTTATCATGGGATGGAAGGTGACTCTGGCATCTTAAATGCTGCACCAGCATAGTTAAGCTTTGATAGATCTTAATACGTTAAAAGGTTTTGAGCACTATCCAGTGATGGACTATATGTCTGTGGTCCAAGGACCAGCCTCACTAAGTAAGGAAGGTGAGTTGTTATTGTTCCTACCACATTGGCTTCAAAAAGAAGAAATCCTCAGACAAAGTAAAACTTGAAGACTGCATGTTAATTAAGAAAGGAGTTGCAATTTACCTTGGTGAAGGGAGTACTCACACCAACAAAATCAAGAATCCTTGAAATAAGGCATCTGCTTAAAAAAGCACAGGAATATTATACTCACACTATCAGATAAAATAATATAATATTTGAAACCCAACAGCTCTGTAATTCTGTGAACATTTGAAAAATAGCCCCACCACTTCCCTACTCATTTGAAAAAGGAGTAAGAGAGGATCAAGAATAATAATTCTCTTAAGACAGTTTTCTTTAATTATCTCACCTATTGTTCAAGTTTGAGGAAAAACAAATCAATATTTTGTTTAGACTAATTCCACTTGATTTCTAAAGCAAATGTTTTATGTCAAAGCTGTCATTTTAATAATCCACATTGTTTTGACACAATCAATATATAAGTCAATGTAGTGTCAGTAGGTACTCTAAAAGGAACATGCCATATATTTGTTTACTTACTAAACATTTAAATTCTTAGTGACCAGTCAGTCAATGGACAAACATTTATTGAACACTACTATATGCCAAGCACTGTGCTAAGCACTGGAAATGCAAACAGAAGCTGGAAGAAAGGTGGTTCCTACCCATAAGGAACTTGCTTTCTGATGGGGAAGACAACACAGCAAAGGGAGCTGAAACAGAGGGGCTGGGAGAGCATGGTAGAGAAAGTCCTGTGTAGATGGGCCAACACTGCCACCTGGACAAGGATCATCTTTGACCTGAGCCTCCTTCTTAAATTGTAGGTTCTCAGAGGAAGCAGTCAATAGCAAGGTGAAACCTTGGGGAGGAGGAAACTTCCAATGTGATTATGTCCAGAGATGGAGTGACCTTCCCTGGTGAAGAGATCTCTAGGGCACGGTAGGGAAGGTCTTATGGAAATGAGTCAGCAGGGCAGCCTGGAGAGGGATGACTAAATCAGAAATATGCTGAAATAGGAAAATTACTTAATAAATAACAAGAAGACCATCCATCCATTCATTTACCCATCCATCTATACGTACTGATGCATTCATTCATTCAACAACAACCATTTATTAGATGTCTACTCTGTGCATAGCAGCTGAGGGAAATCCAAAGATGAATTTTGATTCTGATGATAGTTGGACCAGGTTTTGCTATGGTCAAGTCTTCTTGAACAAGGGCTCACTGAAGGTGATTTTTGCTTTTACCACTTAGTAATGCAAAACCTGTGCTTGCCTGAAAAATGGCACTTGACATCTGTTTAGGAAAGAGGTGATTGCTAAAAAGATCCTGAATTCAGCATCATTTTTGAAAAGTCCTTATTTATCCCACTTGCATAGTGAAATTCTCTGCTTTAGATTCGATCATATAGAAATCACCACTGAAGTTCTACTTAGATGCCTCATTGTGGTGGGAGGATGATCCTGTATTTTCAAAAGTTATGCCAACACATCAGAGAATCACAGAATTTCCAAGTTGGAAAGGATATCGGTAGTCATCTAGTCCAACCCATACTCGAAAACTAATCCCCACTGCTCTGGTAGGTCCTACTAAGTTGGAAAGTTTTTTAGTATAAGCTTAATGATGGCTTGTTACACCTGCTGCCCGAGGACCAATCAGACTAGATAATCAGCCTAGAGGCTCATAGCCATAAGATTCGTTGCAGGGTGATGAATTTTTCAGCTATAATTTATGAATGAAGAAACAAGTATTTATTAAGCATCTTCTATGTGCCAAGGTAGACAGCTAGGGGGCACAGCAGATAGAGTGACGGATCTGAAGTCAGGAAGACTTATCTTCCTGAGTTCAAATCTGGCCTTCACAGCTGTGTGACCCTCGTCAAGTCACTTAACCCTTTTTTGCTTCAGTTCCTCATCTATAAAATGAGCTGGAGAAGGAAATGGTAAACCATGCCAGTTCTTTGCCAAAAAATCCGAAATGGGGTCACAAAGAGTCAGATAAAACTGCACAATAGCAACAACAAATGTGTCAAGAACTGTGCTAAATTCAGATATAGACTGGCCTGTATGGTCTCTAAGGTCCTTTTTAACTCTGTAATTTCTTTTGTGAGGTGCTAAGTGTGAAGTATGAGAAAGGAACTGTTAGTTAATGTTAGGACTAAAAGGTAAGAATATGCTTAAGGGCTGATGAAGTAATCTCCATTTATAAGATTGCATTGAACCACTTCTGTTCCTGATCTCACTCTCATGGATTGTATGAGCACCTTAGCGGCTGTCTCTCCAGCTGGAAGGAGGGGCTGAAATGCTAGGAAGTCCGAGGGACTGGGATCAGCTTGGTGCTGGAGGTGGTGGATCTCCAGTAGCAGGGGTTTGATTCTCCTTTATTTGGATCAAAAATGACCACTCATGACTTGCATTTTAGTTGACTTTGCTGCTGAGTTTTTGAATATACTAGATCCCCAAATTTTTGCTAATATTAAGGTACTATTAAAAATAAAAATTAAAATGCTATATATTTAAAAATATTTATATATTATTTATATGTTGTACATAATATTTATGTTATATAAAATCTAATGTCATAAAAATAGATGTGATACAACATATAATGTATTTTATATATATATATTTTAATATATTTAGTTTCATATCTTCTTGCCCAATCTTTAGAGGGAAAAAAAAATCAATCAAAATGTACTCTTGTCCAGTGTTTAAGGAGCTGATTTCAGAGACTGCTGTCTTACCTGTCCTTTTTCCAACCTTTAGCAACACATGACTACATATATATGTATATATACACATATATACACACACATACATATACTTACACACATATGCACATATGTGTATACAGATGCACACATGTGAAAACTGAGGCAAACAGGGTTACTCACACACATATTTATACACACGTGTATATATAACACACATATATACATGTTTACATACATACATACATATATGTATATGGAAACTTAGGCAAACAGGGTTAAGTGACTTTCCCAGGGTCACACAATTAGTAAGTATCTGAGGTCCAATTTGAGCTCAGAAAGATCAGTCTTCCTGACTCTTGGCCTGTCACTCTCAACACTGTGCCACCTAGCTGCCCAGGAGTACAAAAAAAGGCAAAAATAATAACTGCCCTCAAGTTTACAATCTAATTGGGTGGCATAGACAAACAACTATGTTAAGATACATACTGGAAAAATTGGAGATAATCACAGAGGGAAGGAACTAGCAATAAGGGGGATGAGGAAAAGCTTCTTGAAGATGGTGGGATTTTATCTGAGACTTGAAGGAAGCCAGGGCAACTATGGGGAAGAGAGGAAGAGGGAGAGGATTCTGGCCATGGATTCAGGAGACAGAATGATGTGTAAGAAGAACAGAAGGGATGCCAGTGTTACTGGGTCAGAGACTATCTGAAGGACAGTAAGGTGTAAAAAGACTATGAAGGTAGAAAAGGGTCAGGTTATGAAAAGCTTTAAAAACAAAGGCAGAGAATTTCATATTTGATCCTCGAATAGGTAACCACTGGAGTTTGTTGAATGGGGTAGAGGTAGGGAGGTAACATGTTCAGACTGGTGCTTCAAGAAGATCATTTTGAAAGCTGAATAGTCTGGAGTGGGAAGACTTGAGACAGGAACACCAACCAAAAGGCTACAGGAGTAGTCTGAGTGTGAGGTGTTGAGGTGTTGACCAGGGTGGTGGCAGTGTCAGAGGAAAGAAGTCATATGGAAGAGATGTTGGGAGGGTAGATTGGATAGTATTTGGCAACTGATTGGATAGGAAGGGGAGAAAAGAAGGAGGAATTGAAGATGACACCTACATTGCAAACCTAACAAGGAGGATGGTGATGCCCTTGAAAATAATAGTAAAGTTAGGAAGAGAAGGAAG